TTTCTGAGTTGAGTGTGTGTTAGGGGAGGAGGGTTGCTGAGATGTGGTAATGGAAGGAAAACTCCCTGCACCTGAGGGGTCAGATAGGACCATTGGGTACGTGAGCATCCAACCCTTCTGCTCCTTCTCCTCCCTCCTAACCCTAGAGTAGGGTCCCCACATCCGCTCTCTCCTCATGTCCTTGCTCTCCCCAAAGCCATTTACTCTAACAGCATTACCAGGTTTAGAAAAAGGTCCTCCTAGTGTAGATCCTGACAGCTCCTCTTACGCTGCTTTCTCAGACTTAGCGAACCCCAAGTATGTGCACCACGGGCACCCCAGGTGCTCCAGCCCCTTGCCAGCCCTCCCACCACCATCACAGAGGCTCAGCCTTTCACTCGGAGCCAGATTCAGCCCCAGCCTTCCAGGGACCTGGTCAATGGAGAGAGTCAGCCTGCGGGGAGGACGTGAGCCTGGCTCAGGCTCTAATCCCAACTCCTGGGCTGCTGACTCCTCATCTATGTCATGAAGGTTGTTGGCACTCATCTGTAATAACATACAGCCTGCCCAGGTAAATTTGAATATCACATATACGATAAATAAATTTTTAGTGTAAGTATGTCCCAAATGTTGCATGGAATATACTTATACTAAAACTTATTTACCGTTTACCTGAAATATTTGACACACACGGCATCCTATATTGTGTCCAGCTCCTTCATGGCTCAGATGCGGAAACTGAGACCACAGCGGGAGGGACTGACCTAAGTCACAAGGCCTGCTGGAGGCATTGCCAAGAGTAGAACCTGGCTTCTACCTCCTTAGGGATTTTTCACCTCCGACTGCCGAGATGGCAGAGGCACCCAGCCAGGACCAGGTGGCACCCTCCGTCAGACCCTCCCACCCCATCTCCGTTCAGCGTTATGGCTAATGACTCCACCATGTCCACCTCCCCAGGAGTCCCATCATGGCTGAGTCTTACCTTCAGCCCAGCCTTCTTGTCTAAACTATTGTGTCTTTCCTGAGCCCATTCATGGCCCTGCCCTCCACTCAGCTTCTGTGAAAAGGGGAGAGGATGGAGTCCCAAGGTAGGCACGCCTCTCACAAGCTGCAGGGCCTTGAGCAAGAGACTCCATCTCTCGGATCCCCAGTTCCCTTATCTGTAAAATGGGTGCAATGTTGCCTGCTCATAGGGCTCCAAGGCGGCCTCTCTGTGCATGTGAGGGAGCTTGGCAGACTCACATGTGCTGGGAGATGCAGGCTGTTATCATGGCTCAGTGTTTGCTGCAGTGTCTTCGGTGAAGGCTGGTTCTGTGGGAGGTTAAAAGGTGCTGTCAGGGGAGTGGAGAGAAGGGTCTCTGTCCTCAAGTGGAAATGCTGGATTAGGAAGGTTCACCAGGGACTTCTCAGCACCTTTAAGTTGCCAGTGTATGCTGTGAATCTCCTAAACTGCATTCTCAGCCTTTTCCAAATGTCTTTGGGCACAAAAACCTTTTGGTCAAGGAGTTCCTTGAAAGATTGAGAGACGAAAGCTGATATGGTCACCTTCACAGGGGGTACAACCAAGACGGTTAATGCCTAGCAGCCTCTGGAGATTGAGTGGCAGCTTCACAGAAACAAAAACACAGACAGACAGACAGTCAGGTTCCTCCCCAGAGTCACACTGGGGTCTTCCTCATTCTCGCCCACTGTCCTGCTCAAACGAGGGCATAGTCGAGACTTGGGGAAAGCAGGTTTGCTGCACCCACGATGTATCAGACTGAACCGAGAAGGGTGGGGGCCCCCTGAAATTTTTCTGGCTGTTTACCCCAATCCCAGGGAGACAGACACATTTACACACTCACTACACACACTCACACACTCACATCACTCATTCATACACAGTCACCCTAACTCACAGTCACACACTCTTCACAGTACTCACAAATTCACACACACTCATAGACACTCAGGCATACATATACCCTCACACACAAATTTGCACACACTCATACATAATCAGATACACACACCCAAACACGCACACACTTACACTCACATACTAACTCACAGTCACACACTCTCAAACACTCACAAATTCATACACACACACACACACACACACACACACACACACGCACAAACGCACCACCTTTATTTCTTCCCCTTGTGGAAGTCACTGAATGCCAAACTAAGGAGCATTGAAGTTAAGCATTTCAGGTACTATTTTGTCTCCAATTTTTATATTTTACTGGAAAAAAAAGTAATCAGTTAAGCAAGAAGAAATAAATGAAACCACTTATAAGTTCACCAAACAGATATACACCTATAAACATTTACAGGAATATCCATTTACACTTTTAAAGCATATATTTACAAATAAGCATATATTTATGAATAATTATATAACATAATAAAACTATTTTTAAACAGCTTTTTAAATTTAACAAAAATCAGGAACATCTTTCCATGTAATAAATTTAGATGTCCTTCATCATTCCACTGGTTGCCTAATGTTGTACTTTAGGGATGAGCCACAACTGGAGTCCTTTGATTCTGGGATGCAAGTGTCTACTTCGATGCTTCCACTTGCAGAGTAGGGGCCAGGAAAGCCCTCTGATGGCTCATGCAATAGTCTAGGTGAGTGATACGAATACCTTGTTCAGACAGGGTGACTCATGATCTCAACACGGCTGCTGTAGCTCCTCCAGATCTCAGGGCCTCATCCCAGGTGAAAAATTTGAAAAAGTGAATCAGGCAGAGGTGGTACTAATATAAGAAAAGCAAATCTTGGGCCGGCCGAGTGTCACGTTGGTTAAGAGCTGGCTTGGGATGCCAGAGGGCCCCGGTTCGGATCCCACATATGAGGGCCAGTGACACTGCCCTCTA